AGAGGCATTCTCTCCTCTATAAGAAAGGAAGAACGCTTCTCTTTTTCAAGATGGCACCTGCCAACAGTGTAACAGTATTTATCTTTTGCACTAACTATTGGCATTAAAAAAACACACACGCGCACACACACACACACACGCCTCACCTAAATACAAGATGACACCTGCCAACAGTATTTATGTTTTGCACTAATACTGGCATTAAAAATTATATATATATATTTAGTTTAATTAAAGTAGTTAGTGCAAAACATAAATGCTGTTGGCAGGTGCCATCTTGGAAAAGAGAAGCGCTCTTCCTTTCTTATAGAGAGAATGCCTCTTATAAGATGGTGTCCCATGCTGTGACAGGTGTGTGCCTCACCTAAAAACAAAATAAAGAGTGCATTTTTATTTATTCATTTCTACAAACATGCTCAAGTGGATCAGCTAACACAGAGGTAGGCAACCTTTCCCCTTTAAGGGCCGAGGGACTTCAGCTCCCAGAATCCCAGGAGCTATTGGCCAACATGGGACTATTGGCCAACATGGCTGAGGCTTCTGGGAGCTGAAGTCCCTTGGCCCTTAAAGGGAAAAAGTTGCCTACCCCTGAGCTAACAGATTAAAACTTAAAACGCGGAACAATCCAAACGCTAAGATTCCTGTTATTAGGCAATACTTTTTTATATCAATGTTTAGGCAATACTTTTTTATATCAATGTTATATACTTTAAACCAGGGGTAGGCAACCTTTCCCCTTTAAGGGCCAAGGGACTTCAGCTCCCAGAAGCCTCAGCCATGTTGGCCAATAGTCCCATGTTGGCCAATAGCTCCTGGGATTCTGGGAGCTGAAGTCCCTCGGCCCTTAAAAGGGAAAGGTTGCCTACCTCTGCTTTAAACGCAAGCGGTCTTCTTTCATGGGTCGTATAGCCAAGGTTGCTTCCATCCCATCTTCAACCATTTTGCCCAGAAGATGCAAAAACCTGGTAAACTTCCTGAGAGGTAAATTGTGGAAGGCTGATCCTGTTTATTACCTTGAATACACCTGGCATTTTCTGGATGAAAAAGCAGGAAGGAAAGCACTTGGTACCTTGTGAGAACATAACACGCACATTGAAGCAATCTGAACTTCTTGAATTTCACTTATTTCTGCTCAATTGGCTTTCCAAATCATCTTGATTGCACCATGACTTTTATTATTGTTGTCTGTTTCTTGTCTGAGGCTCTAACAAATATATATCTTCTGCTGTTCAGTTAGTGTGATATAATAATATGTTTCACTTCTGTAAAAAAAAAAAAAACTTTCAGAGGAGGGATCAGCAGGAGAAGTTTTTCCGGAAGCAAGTGATTTTCTTTTCTTCTAAATAAGATTTAGAATTCACAAATCCTATCAATATTCAGTTTGCATCATCCTTGCATTTTGGAAGAGGGAAATGTCTCAAAATAAGTTTAAAAGCCCTAAAAAAGTCTTTTATAGGCAGGGATGCCCTATCATGAGGCAATTACTTCCAATAATGTGTTAATGTTGGCATTTGATTAAAGGACAGCATATTGTCCATTATGTAGTTAAATTTTATTTGTAAATCATTAGGGTACAACTGGGATTTTCTGCTTTAGACATCAAAACGTATTGGTGTTGTGTCTTTCTTAGGTCCAAAACACACTGCAGAAATAATCCAATTTGAGACTGCTTTAACTGCCTTGGCTCAGTGCTAGGGAATTCTGGGAACTGTAGTTTTGTAAGAGATTTAGCCTTTTCTGTCAGAGAGCTCTATAATTACAATTCTACAGTTCCCAGGATTCCCTAACACTGAGCCAGGGCAATTAAAGCAGTCTCAAAATGGATTATTTCTGCAGTGTGTTTCGGATTTTAGGCAATAAAGTAGCTCTGAAATTCAAAGCTGATATTTATTCAGTCCCAGCCAACAAATTCCAAAGGAGTAAACCCAATTCTATGCAACTGGATTTCTCTCCCCTGTAGCCTCCTAAATCTGTTCCAGAGGATCCATCCATAATCTAGAGCAAATATGGGATATTTAAGAGAAGAGAAGGTTTTGAGAGAAGAGAAGGTTTAAATTTCCACCGCTGTCTATTCCTCTGATGCTGAATAGAACCCAATATAATAGAGAAGTAAATACAGGAATTGTCCATTGCTCTGAGCTATGTGGAATGAATCTTCATCTGTATAACACTGGCAGGAGGGATGCAACACATCAACATCCTTACAGGGTCACTATTTCTATGTGTCATCCTTTCCTTTTTTTTTTTTTTATGGCATTTAATGCTATAGTGGCTGATTGACCAAAAAACAACAAGAAACCAATAGTTTTATCAGCTCTCTTACTAAATTATGGGGGTTGGGGTTGGGAAGGGACTAATTTTTGAATTTTATTGTATTCCATGCACTTTTATTGCTGTAACCCGCCCAGATTCCTTGTGATTGGGTGGGCTATAAATAAATTATTTTTTATTATTATTATTATTATCATTATCATGGCTCTGTCTATGAATTCTAAAAAATATTAAGACAGTTGTTGTCATTGAGCCTTCTTAGTAATAACAGACTGGCTGTGATCTGTAATTTGCACACATCCTGGAATCATGGAGGACACTTCTAGATATACATTGTGCTTAAAGATGTTTCAGTGACAGTGGACTGGAAAAGTAATTTGTCTCTAGCCTGCTAGTACCTGGAACGAGACAAAATTGAGAACAACCTGCCTGTCCCTCCTCTAACTTTAAGAGCAGTGCTAAAGTTCCTGGAGAGGCACCTTATTCCAAGTCCAGCAGTTGGCACATCTACCCCAGTACTGCCTACTAGCAGACAGCAGCTCTCAGAGGCCTCAGACAAACACCTTTCTTTGTTACCTGAGATGCTCTGTAACAGGTGATGTTGGGTTGAATGTGGGGTCCTAGAAAAATAAAGCACTTTGCCATTGAGCTGACGTTTAGGTATGCCCTAAAGAGTAGAATGACCCCTGATAACACAGGAGCTAGCCATTTCTGACCCCATTGTATTCTAAACATATTTTCTACTGAAGGAACATGTTTATTTGCTTCCACTATTAGCAACCAGGAAATAAAATTCAAAATGCCTGACATGAAAAGTAAATGACACTTGTGCATGTCTGAAAAGTACTCTTGCTAGAATTTAAGTAGTAAATAGATTAGACAAGTCTTTCAAATAATAATTCAGATTCTAAATTTTAGAAGATGGTTGAATACTCCTCCTTACAAGTGTACAGAGGGTGAGAGCCAGCGTACGGTAATGGTTTGAGAGTAGGATTAGGACTCTAGTCTAGACATTAGGGTTTGACTCTCCATTCAGACATGGAAACCCTTTCCTCTTACAGCCTGTCAAGGATAACATTCAGGGAGAAGGTAGGCAAGCATGTTTCAGGATAGGTGTGTTTTTTTCATTGCAGGAGGAACTTTATATCTCTAGCGATCAGGAAGTACAATAACAAGTAACGATGGTAAATGTCCATTACTCCTGCATCCCTTATAGTAAAGTCATGAACACTGCTTAATCAGCCTTTTTTCACTTAAAGCACAATATGTGAATTTCAGCAGACATAGCTGTCATGTCAGCTGAGTCAGCTGTTTATAATGACATGTGCACTGTGTTAAATCAATTAATTATTCAGAAATGTAGATAATAATGAAGAGTAATTATATGACATGTAGGAGGGCATGATTCTCTTATTGTCCTCTCTAATTACCCCCTACTCCTTACTCCATTATTTGCCATCCCAAAAACTGCTGTATACAAGTTGAGCGCTCCAACTCTTTGGTTTGGCAGCTGTCTTCTTTACAGTGCTGGTGGCAGCCTTCTAAAGCTACAACCCTTTTAGAGCCTGAGCTATTCAGGCTTGGAGGGATCCTGGGAGTTTTTGTCCAAAAATGTAACTCTCCAAAGCTCTAAATAAAGGTTGGGAATTATGTGGCCCTCCAGATGTCTTAGATTGCAACTCCCAGCAACTCTGGCCAGCATAGCCAATGGTGCAAAATGCTGGGAGTTGTCATTCTAAAACACTTGGAGAGGATCCTCTGGTTTCTGTTTCATTTTAAATCCTGTTGCTGCTTACATGGGAGGCACAAAACAGACAGGAGGAAGTCTCCCACCTAGGCAAGGTTGGTATTACAGAGACCCTGCATCAGTAGCAAGGAAATGAGTTAAAAACAGGGGACTGTCTGAATGTCAGATGCAGAAATACATCTCTTTCAGAGTAATTCAGTCTGCATTAGGAACTGTTTAAAATATAAACAGTATTTCAAGGTCACTGATTTGTCACAGGAAATGGCATAAGGAAGGGATGAGAAGATTACTGTTTGTGCCCCTTTTAGGGAGTTGGGAGTCACTCTGAGATGCTAAGTGAGAAGAAGAAAAGAAAAATGGATCATGTATCCTCTGAGATTTTGAGATTCTTAAAGGTGTACTGAAAATGCCTGAAGATCAATATTCCTTTAATTCATATTTGCATATTTTTTGCATTGACAGAACACCGCAATGATGTTCTGAAGTGATGTTCCTTAGAACACTAAAGAGATACTCTGAAGCATTTATTTCTCTGTTCCCAAAACTCTCTTCACCAAGGGGGGTTGCAGACTGCCAGAAATAGTGCAAATTGAGTCCACTTTTAGGGTTAGGGTTAGTGCTAGGGAATCATGGGAATTGTTTTTTTTTTTTCTGAGACATTGAGCCTTCTCTGTCAGAGGGCTCTGGTGCCACAATAAAATACAGTTCCCATGATTCCCTAACCCTAAAAGTGGACTCAATTTGCACTATTTCTGGCAGTCTGCAACCCCCCCAATACTTCTTTTTAAAAGGTATGCTTTTTAACAGAGAGTTTGTACAAGATTTGCAAAACTGATGACGATGTCATGGGTGGGAACAGTAAGAGATCCATTTGAATTACATATGCAAATGGGCAAGCTAGTCTGTTCTTTCATTTAAATTCTAGTTTGCAAAGTCAAATTGTCAAACTCTCAGTATTTACCTGGCAATGAAAAGGGTGAGAGCCAGCGTGGTATAGTGGTTTGAGCACTGGATTACAACTCTAGAGACCAGGGTTTGAATCCCCTCAAGCGTGGAAACCCACTGGGTGACCTTGGGCAAGTCACACACTCTCAGCCTCAGAGTAAGGCAAAGAAATCCCCCTGTGAACTTGCCAAGAAAACCCCATGATAGATTCACCTTATTTAAGAATTTTTAAAATACGGATTGCTTTCCTGAAGAGAGTCTTCATCCTTCTATTTAAATATTTATTTGGCCAATACAAAGGCAATCCAGAAAGAATGGAGAATTCCAAAAAAGTGTTTTTGGGATGCTCCATGTGGCCCCAGGGAGCACTTTGTCCACCCCTGTTTTAGCAGTAGGTCTCAGTTCTGCTTCTGGCACCGGGGGAACAACTCTTAACTGAACCACATATCTGGTAATCTGGATCAGCTTTTGCACAGTTGCTCTAGGAACAGGGAAGTCACTTGCTTTATCTTAAGGACTTTCTTTCTAATGTCAGGGAGAAAGGGGAAAAGAGGAAGTGGAGGATGGCTTCAAATTAAGGTGAGGGAATGCAGCACTATAAATGAATAAGGGCTAAAATTTCTAGACAGGATGAACAGATGCTGTAGCAAATGTTTCAGTAGCACCCACCAAATGCAGAAATGGTCTCGTAAGACAATTATCTGAAAAGTAATGGAGACAAATGGAATGTAACTGGATTGGCTTGGTCTGGAATTAAGAATATCATAGCCTGCAGGACATCTTAGTCAAAGAATGCATCTGTTTAAGAGCTAGTCCCCTCAACCTTCATTTGGCTCCACAAAAGACATTGGCTGAACCAGAGATGTGCTTATACTGGTGTTACAGCTTTGTTCTTACTATGCATAATAGTGGTAACACTAACAATAGTATGCATAGTTTTCAAAGAAATAGCTCTGTTAGTCTGCATTTATTTGTTTTCCTAAACAAATACAATGCAGAAATGGCAATACCCAAAAACCATTTGCAGAGTATTTCAACCTTCCTGGACATAGAATATTAGACTTACTTCTTTGTCTGTGGTTCTAAAGCACACACATACAAATCAAAGAAATACTGGAAACAGGTGAATTGAATTATACAGTATTTATAAATTCCAATCCATTAGCAGATGTATGAGCTAAGATAATGGTTTCATGGCACACTGCATATATTTATATATATGAGTCTTCACAGATGCACTCATGTAACAAAATAAATTTCCTTAAAGAAGGGTTTTGACCCCAAGGGAACTGTCTTTTGGTAAGCAGATTTATTGCTTTCATTTGTTGTCTATACTGAATTGTGAATTTGTAGCTGAAAAGAGACTGACTGGATATTTCCTGACTTGCACTCTATGCCATCATACTACATTCTTTCTTTGTTAGCACTAACAAGTTACTAAAATCTGATAATAATGAGTAGATTTAGATCGGTAGATTTAGTGCTAATTTCACAAATTTTCAAAACTGTGCAGGAAAGATATACCATGGTTTACAAGTAGTTTTGAGGCCAGCTTCTTGCCAGCATTACTTGCTTCTTGCCAGCATTCACTGAAACTGGCACATTGTACTCCGTGATATAATATTCTACATGTTCCTTTTGTTAAGACGTGCATGCTTTATCATTGTAAACAAGTTGGCAGGCAAACCAGCATGAATTATGGACTTCACAGGTTAATATCTGTGTTTGTGTCTTTATTAGCCAGTGGGAGGCTAATATTTCCGTAACAGGTGTGAGGTGGCATATGTTGTGTTTTGTCCTCCTGATATTGTATTATTTGTTTACATGCCTGATTTCTAAGGTGTGCATTCTTATCCATGTTCATTTTCAAAGTGCAGTTTTTGTTTTGAACAAATATAGACATTTCTGCTTTCAGTGATGCATATTAAAAGTTCACATGCAAGAGATCCAGAAGATTTTGTATGCTTTTGATGCATTTAAATGCATTTAATTAAAATAGTTTATGTTTGTTTTTGCTCTCTCAGAATTATTCTTCAAGGTAGTTATATTTCATTTAGTTTATCTGTTTTTTTTTAAATATTTCATATATTTATGTGGTTGGGAGTTTCTCAATCAATCAAACTGTATTTTATTCATTTTTTAAAACATTTGGCCATTATGGTTCATTCTTGTACAACTGGAAAAAATGCAGCAAAATATTTATATATGTGCTATAAACAGCTATAGGATAATACAAGCAAATTTGACCCAGATTATCCAAACAAATAAACAGTATTATTGTTGTGTGCCTTCCAAGTTGTTTCTGACTTATGGCAACCCTAAGGTGAACCTATCATGGGTTTCTTTTTGGCAAGATATGTTCAGAGGTGTGCCGTTGCCTTCCCCAGAGACTTGAGAGAGTATGACTTGCTCAAGGTCACCCAATGGGTTTCATGGCTGAGCAAGGAGTTTAACCCTGGTCACCAGCATCATAGTACAACACTTAAACCAGTACACCATGTTGACTCCCAACAAATACTCATCTATATATGTAAACCCACTGGTGACCCTGAGCAAGTCACACTCTATCAGCCTCAGAAGATAGCCATGGCAAACCCCCTTTGAAGAAATTTGTCATGAAAATCGCACAATAGGTTCAGCTTAGGGTTACCTTAAGTCAGAAACACAACCACAACAACATTTCATCTATACCTAAAAATATAAAATATTAATAAATACAAATTGTACAAAGATATACAATTGCAGAATGTCCAAAAATGCATGAAACTGGTTCTAGGAAGAAAACAAAATGAATATAACATATTTGATAATATTAAACTACAGGCATCAAAGTACTTGCCAACAATTTGGATAAAATTTTGTGCTGAATTTTAGCTCCTGATCATGATGTAATAATGGCTGTAGTGTCTGCTCTGCTTTTGAGGTGATGTTTAATTGGGTTGTGAATTTACCGGTAATTTTAAATATGAATTGAGAGGAAGCTTAATAATTCTGGCCTTCATCATCATCTATAACCCACTCCTATCTGAAGTACCCAAGTAGACAACGCTCACTTAAATGGAAGATAATTAAGAAAAGAGAATACTTTGTTGTAGATTTTTTCACTAGTTGAAATAAATAATAGAATCCTAGAGCTGGAAGGGACTAAAACAACCATCCAATACAACCCTCTGTCATGCAGGAATACACAAGTAAGCCCAAGATGCCCATCCAACCTCTGTTTAAAGTCCTCCAAAGATGGAGAGTCGACCACCCTCCAAGACAGACCATTTCATTGTTGAATAGCTTATCCAGTCAAGAAGTTCTTCCTAGTCTTTAGATGGGACCTCTTTTCATGTAATTTGAATCCATTGCTCTGTGTCCTGCTGTGGACCAGCAGAAAACAAACTTGCTCTATCTTCTGCATGTCATCCCTTCAGATATATAAAGATGGATAGGTCATCTTTCATTCTTGGTCAGCAGAGGTAGAAACTGAAAATCATGAAATGATGTTGCAGTTAAAACTGTTGTGCTAATTTGAAGGAAAGCTTTCGTTTAACAAAAAGTCGTTCCACTGTTATGGGTTGATGTCAAGTTCTCAAATTATTAGAGGAAGTATATCATTATCAGATGTCTTCAAACTAATTCAGTGACTCATATAACGAACTGGTTTTGTGCACAAATCCATCTCTAAGAATTGTTCACATAATCTGCTATTCAAAGTCAGCCATTTTGAGAACAAATGCATTTGCAACTAAGACAAAAGGATTTGAGGAAGGGCAGAATTTAGCCCAGGGGAAAGAAGGAGAATATGCCAATTAAAACAGTTAAAGCTGAAAGCAAACAATATCTTACCAGAGAATTATATAATAGCTGTCCTGTTAATGGTAAATTGCAAAGCAACAAGTGATGACTGTTGAAGTGGCTATTCATCCTGCAAAACTATGCCACAAAAGAAAAATAGAGTGATAAATGAACTTATTAGTAATGCATTTTTGTTTTGTTTTGACTGTGGAGCACTAACTTTAAACCATTTGGTACCTGATTTGCAGTGTCAATTCCAACTTGCAGCTGTATGCAGAAACTATTGTTGTTGTGGTGTGTGCCATTAGAGCCAGCATTGGGTTGACTCTGAAGTCCAGGGTTTGAATCCCTGCTTGGCCATAGAAACCACTCAGGGCAAGTCACACTCCCTCAGCCTCAGAGGAAGGCAAAGGCAAACCCCCTCTGAACAAATCTTGCTTAGAAAAACCCATGATAGGCTTGCCTTAGCATCATCATAAGCCAGAAATGACCTAAGGCACACAACAACAACAACAACAAGGATTCAGTAGAACCAGTGAGTGCAAGATATGATGCTGCTGTGACAGATCCTTTGGCAAAACACCTCAGACATGTTGGTGAAACTTTTGTGCTGGCAATGACACACTGAAATGGATGGATTTTTTGGGGTGGGACATAGGGGAGGAGCACATTTACACCATATTCTATGCTCATTTAGTTCATGGGCATGCACTGTTGGCAGTAAAAAGAGTCAGATAGGAATGAGATAGTGAGAGTTAGAGCAGATAGAGACAGAGAAGGCCTTAGAAGCTGTGAATGAGGAAAGATTTCAGGGATTTCTTGTTTTTCCCCCTCTCACTGTCTGACTGTTCCATTTAAGAATTGACAAGAAGACTGGGCATGCTTATCACATTAAATCCACTGATCAGTACAGCCACTTGTCCATAATAATCTGAGTACCAGATCAAGGGAGAGATGTTGAAGGAAAAAGGGCAAAGTGAGTGATAGAAGTCCAAGGGTTGGAACAGCAGGGCCATCCTGGACATGGTTCTGTCACAATAGGATATTGTGTTACACAATACCTAATCACTTCATCTCGGCACTGTTATGTAAACACACATAGAAAGCCCACAACCACAAAACGCCTTCCCTTTTGCCATGCGTGAATGTGAATGCGTCTTCTCTGTACTGTATTTCTGTAATGTTCTTTCTCCAAAGACATCAAAGAGAGAAAGATATTAACTATTATTAATGTATTTTTTTGTTTTGATTGTGGAGCACTAACTTTAAACTTTTAAACTAATTTTAAATCATTAAATTTCTGATTAGCTGTGTCAATTCCAAT